TCAAGGCGTGACTACCCACTGCATTTAATATAGTTGATCTTCACCAACTAGAACATTCGTCAACTCTTGCACAAAACAAGCTTGTTCGGCGCTTTGCGGCCATCCGTGGTACACCCACGTTGAAACAGAGAGCTATTTGGAAGCCCCATTGGGATAATCTTATAATTGGCACTGTTGTGGAATGTAGGTAGCCCGGGTGCACTGCTTGGTTGTTGGTCTGTTCGCCGAGCTTGGCAGTTGTGTTGGAAACGTTTCATCACCAATAGATGTGCTGAAATGTCTAAGCGCTCAGTTGGACAGCTCGGAAAGCAACTTGCGGGCCGAAGATCACAGCCGCAGGCCAGTCAACTAATCTTTCAAATTTCTAGCAAAGCCGGGTGCCGGGTAACAAAATATCCATGATAAAATTCCTTTTTAAAACATCTGCAGCCACAAAACCCAACTATGGATGTCTGAACCTGGAGTGTGTTTATATTTGTAATGTGTTTAAAGAGGAAGTTGTGTAAGTCGATCAGACTGACGGGCAAACCTGCATGGCAATAACAACGATTCGTGATCACCGACATAGTGAATAAGAACATTTGTTGCATAGATGATGATGCAGTTCTTTCACATTCAACCTCAAAAGATCTCCTTGTGATTCTGGCCATTGAGTGTTATGAAAAAGCCTCTGCTGAATAATTTGTTTCAAACAGGCTGGAGTGACTTTGCCTATATTCTCGCCCAGTGCATCGGCCATGTGTGTCGCACTATCCTAGAGGGAGCAAAATTATTTGGACCAAAAACCACGTCACGTTTTCGGATTTCGACACTGTTTCCTGTATTTCTTTTTAGAAAGGTGCAGGTGAATACTCGGCATCTTATACCTAATTTAGACAGGGATATACAAAATTGTTGGATCACGGGAATTATCCTCGTATTTGGAGGACACCTCAAAACTCAGTCAGTTTAGGTGGCGGTGACAAAAATCAGAGGAGTGTTAAATTTAATGGAAAATTTGCTGAAAAACTGTTTACATCAACTTTCAGGTGGGACTCCTCTTTAAAGATGATCTTCAGCGGCAGTCTATGAGAATGATTTGATGCGCACGCACATGGAAATTTGCGTTGTGTTGTATCGCATGCAAAACAGCTGATCAGTGTGCGACATTATTTTAGCACAGAACAACAGGAAAATTTAGTTTGTGTAGCAAACGAAACTTCAAAAGTGTTCGCAGTAGAGACTGGTTGGATTAATTTTATCAGCCACTACCTAAACGGTCATATGTTTGATAAGCTCATACAAGTGCTGTGCTTTGAGTGTACTTGGCTAGTTGTACATGTTTCCTGGTAGAACGACTGATTCTGATGGGCACGAGTAAACCATGACTTTTCCAGGAGAGCGGATTGCATGTAATGAGAGACGTGGCTTTGTTGTCCTGCGGAAGAACATACGATTACGGTGATGAGGACCGCCTAGCTATGTTTCGTGGGTACCATCACCGACGTCAATGTTTACTTGAGTGTATACAAACCGTTGTGCAGCGTACGAAGTTAGAAAGGGAGCATTGATGCCAATCCACCCACGCGCCGTCAAACACAAATTGACAATCATGCTGATGCTTTTCGTCATGTTATGTTTGGTTTTTTATTGAGTCTGAGTGAACAACAGTATATATATATGAGAGGAGATGTGGATAGTCATTGGCACACAAGTACCCGGAGACTGCTGTTTTCCAAAAGGATGATCAAACCTTTCGGACTTGTGCTTCTATTTGTGTGCAGTAGGTTGCTTTGCCACAGCTGACTAGGCTCGGTATGAGAATTACACATTTCTACTTGGGGTCCTGACACGTATTTCTGGAATTTGTATTTCAGTCACTCTGGGATCTTCTCTTCAGGTACCAAGTGACGATCTCTTGGCTGACTGCATTGGTAAGTAAAAAGCTGAAAATTCAATGATTACGACATTGTGAACCCCCAGAAGGTTCTCTAAAACAGCAGCTACCTGACTTCCTCAGAAAACGATTCTTGTCTTACAATTATTATTTCCTATTTATTGTTTATTGTTTATTACTTATTATTATTAGTTTACCTTTCAATAATTTACCTTTTCTACAGGTATCTGCTCTGACCTATACGGCGGTTGTTTCGGTAAGCAACATACCCCGAAAAAATGTGATGTCAGAAACGGCATCCTTGTTTTTCAATGTGGGAAATGCATTCGGCCATATATGGGACACCAACTTTGATGAGCTTGACTTAACTTCATTCTGCCCAGAACTCCGTATGGGGCAACAAATTAGTTAGCAACAGTCCGTTTTGCCTCGGCAACATATTTTTCACTCATTTAGTTGTTTACTGCACGTATGTGAGCCTAATCTTCCGAAACTTTTCATGGATTTCGATGCTTCCAGAGCGACTGTCAGGTTTAGCATAGGTTTTCCTAAACTATTACAATCATCTAGGATACAGGACGTCATTTTCCTGAGGAACGCTGATTTCAATAAAACATTTTCAAACTTACGCCTCGCCTCATTTAGTATCACTGTCGATGACACCGATTGGCTCTTGCAAGTAGGCCTCCAGATGAACGCGGTATGAAGAATTCTGTCGTGGGGTAGGTAGCTCTTAGTAAACATGTAGCCTTAGTCTTTATTAGTAGCGCATTCATGAAGCGCCACCCCCATGGTACAAATCACAAGCTTTACTGGTTCATCTAAATAGACACTCGTTACTCCACTCTCACTTCCATCTGCCGTATTCCTAACTGTATTCTATCAGGAATTGTGGGAGCAACGTCTACAGTGCAACGTTCCCATAATATTATAACAGGGTTTCCACAGATAGGCTTGCATATCATGGCCTCAAACTCAGAGGGATTATAGTATGGCTACTTGTAATCAGAGGAGATTTTCCAATCAATCGTATTTGATGCACCGGGTGACGGTATGTAGCCGATAAACATAATCAAAACGAATACGAAAACTGTAAAGTATCCACGAAAAAGCAAGAACCAAGTGTTTTGAGGACGCTTATCTGGAAGAATATTATTCCATGAGCGTCACAGTGACAGGTTTTCATTTCCCATGCGTTGAACATGTGCTTTCAGAAACTTAGTTTTAAAGGTAACCTGTACAGTGTTATGCTTAGAACGGCAGCCAGCTGTCAGGAGGGATTTCTGTTTGGTTTTTCTGCCGGACCAATTTCTTTCAGGTTTACATCGGACCCACAGCCTTACCCGCACAGACCTAGGTGGGTGCTCAGTGATCAAGCCACACTTTACATGTACACCCGTAGTGAATGTCAGCCAACAATATGAGAGCGGCCATAACAGACACTGTTTTGAAAGTGCATGAGAATGTTGGATTTCCAGATTTTGCATCGGGTGTGGTAAGAGAAACAAACATACACTCACATCTGCATATACAGGAATTTGCTATGCTTAATTCGTTAAATGACCGTAAAATATTCTGTACTATGATGCACTTGATTTGGCCTGGCTGCAAGCCACTTCTAAGGAACTAGCCATTTTGTCGGTTAACATTTTGTGGTCCAAAACATGGCGGGTCGTATAATTTCTGGTTTTTACTCGGTTTTTAATCGCACAATTGAAGAAATTGGTGGTGGCCAAAGTTGTCAAGTTCGGGCTGGCTTGCTAGTTGAGGGGAGCAATTTGATGGAAAACGTTTGATTGCCAGGTGAGTTTGTATGAAGCCGGCCTGATTCTATAAGGCGGAAGAAAATTAGCTGAGAGGGAGGAAGACGTGCAAGGTCATTGGGACGTTCACGAATCCTGAGTCCGGCGAACAAACAAGTCAACATGAATAAACACCAAAAGACTAACCGTTGTCCAAGATCTACCTGAAAGGGTAAATCTTATTTGAACTCACGCGGCAATCACGCACTTCCACCAACCCCAAACCACCCACCGGGCACCTGAGGTCTCACCCCAATTGGTAATCTAACGTTTTCGGCCAAAATTAGCAGGCCGAAAGACATGATACTTTTAAGTGAAAGCACCATAAACACTAGACTAATATTCATACACATTTAGTTCTGGGACTCGTCCAAGATTACAGGAGCAGATGCTACTTTAAAAGTTCCCCATGAACTCTCCTGCCTCAACAAATATTCTTATTGTTTGTGTAGATGGACGCCCAGAGACAGCCGAAGGCAATTTCTGCAACCGTGAGTGATTAATTTTGTACATCAGCAAAAATTATACGGTATAGTTATCTCCAAATGAGCTCAGTTTTTGATGTTATTGCATAAATAAATAAATAAATAAGTAAAATGCAAAACGCATTCCATTCGAAGTAGGTCGAACTGTTTGAAAGAAAATTAAGGTGACCGGCAAATTCCTTAATGTTTTGAAAAAGTGCAAGGCAGTTGCAGCCTCCAAAGGTCGTTCTTTGAGGACCACCATAAATTGAAGTCCTAGATCAGTATTGAAGTACAGTGACTTCCAGTGAACTGCGGGCTGATATTCAAGCCTTGTTTTGTCCCATCCTGACATCAGCTAACCGAACAAAACTGTGCTATTGATGCGTGCTAAACTAAATCGGAGGATATTATGAGAGAAATTCTCATCACCTGTTTAGCCCTGTTTGAAAGATTAGACTTCCATTAATGTGCAGAAAACCAGCCCGATTAAGTGACTATCATATGTGTTCAATGAAGAAGATAATGTGCGCGGTGTACTGCTAGATGCCTACAAATATAAGTACATCTCCTTTAATTTTACTCACAGACTACTGTAAAGTGCGAACAGTAAATGAAGGTAAGCAAGTCTGTTTGGTTTTAAACTGGAGGCAGTGCGGTTGGTGCTTAAATGTGCTTGAACATGGCTACATGTACAAAGATGTTCGTTAAAAAACGCTCTGCTAATTCCCAGGCACCAGCATAGACAAAGTAGGGACCCCGGTCGCTTCCTACCTTTTGAAAACCATTTGGTAAAAGGCTTTTTTTACACGGACTTGTTTGATTCTTAGTTATCACCTTCATTTTCAACAGAATGTAAACAAAAGGAAAAACAGCGTACGTTATGCATTATTAACCGTTTTATTTGGAAGAGGTGGAGATGTGACTTTTTGTTAAACTTGGAAGATAGACAAGGAGAGAATTGTACGGATTAGAATGAGGTTGTTGGTCTCCGTGCTTCCGCCGTGCTTCACCAAATTGGCGTGGCATATAGGCATGAAGGGTCTCTTGGTTCCAAGAACTAATATGTATTCTATGTAACAAGAAGTGTAATAAACTGATATAACTGTACCGATTTCGGTTTAGTTATCAGGCCTAATTTGATTAAAAATCATCCCCTGAATAGTAAGGGATTCGTTGCACTGGATATAAGCACTCGAATTCCGTTTGAGAGGTAAATATGTTTAATCTTTTTCAGGAAATTTGCGTTCCATAGCCCGTTATGCTTCTTTATGTTGAAGGGTGATTTGACGCGCACAAGCACGGATTACCTGAATCGCATTGTGGCAAGTGGCAACCGTGGTGGATGTAATGAAGATAATCAGTACATGAATACATTGGATGATGCAATCTGGTGCAAATCTCAAACTTCAAAGATAGAGGCTTGTTTAGACGGCACACGCGCAAGAAAACCATATAATTCGTTTAGATACCACAACAGCATACATGAAACGAGCTTCGCCTTGGTGCAACAGCGATAGAATGCTAAGAGCATTTTGTACCGCATTGTTGATTTACACCGTCAATAAGCAAGGGTACGTCCTATTCGCCAGCGTTTTAAAGGGTGCTGTGAACCTTTTTCAAACAAACACAGATGGCGTTTTTAGTATGATGTACATTTTGCTACAATATGCAGATCCTAAGTTAATAACTAGTCCTTTCATGACGCGAAACTTTCTGATAAGTCACACATACACTCTCCAGAGAACAACTTACAGAGGTACATCATCATTTCGGTAGGATACCAATATCCCCATAAAGTGTTCTGAAGAATGGACCATGCACCAGCTTTCCCACGCCTCGGAAAATATTTTCAGGCATCGTGTGCGGAAATTTCTTCGTGTGTATTTACAATAAAATTGGCTTCATTTGTTGCAGTCAGTTAAATTTAAGATGAGACTTGTTGGATAACCGGAAATGAGAGTATTTTAATGCTTGCTTAACAAAAACTGTTTTTCACAACATTTTATGTTAAAATTTTGATTGAAACGGCACATGATACTTGTTAGTGTGCACTAACCGACCGGGTGTAGTGGAGCTAACAGGTACTGTCTTATGTACACCGCAGTGAATGAACAGAAATCAGCATGCACGGTCCTCTTTGGATGTACGAGTAAGCAAATAAATTACACTTTCTTACCTGGTTGAATTAGCGCGTGAACATGCAGGCAGCAACTCGAATAACTTTTCTCACAATGAAAAAAGTATATTGCAACTACAAGTGAACCATGAGTAGCTTGTAACATTTCGCATGCACCTATTTACGTTTCTGGCGATATCACATTTGAATCTGGCTGAAAACTACCTCTGTGGATATTCGCAAAACAGTTGATTCCATGATGCTTGTCAAACCTCGGTGACCATAACTACAGTCGTTGAATGATGAGTAAAGAGTGAATTTACAAAAAAATCATATTTTCCGTTTTGTATTTTTTGGCTTTGATTTTTTGTTTAGTTGCTCTTCACAAAAGATGAACTTTGTCCACATTCGATCGCAAGTAATGATGAACAGTATGCAAAAGAGAATTTTTTATCAACACAAACGATACGAGTAAAATGTTGCTAGTCATGTTTATCTATTATCACTTATTTTTGTCTCAATAATTCCCTGTAAAATGAATGTTGAATGTAGTTTTGTTTTTTCCTTTACAAAAAGATTGCAGCAGAATGGATCACACATCTGCAGGTAAGTGGTGAGCTTTTTCAATAGTTCTCATTGTCGGTTCGAAATTTTTATGTTGATGTCAGACACTGAGCAAGAAAGGATTAACTTGTCAGCTTGAGGGTCAATTCGAACTCAAAATTTGTCCGCCGTTTACAAGCTGGCTATCGTAGTGAAACAAAAGTGAGATTGAATGCTGGCGTACCTATTGCTTGCCGGCATTTATTGATGGGTTACTTATTGCGAGCAAATTTTCGTACGTTTTTAATATGCCAACTAAAGGTTGTGGATTTCTGTAGGAGTACATGGATGTTTCGAGAACACAAGAACGGTGGCAAAACACATCTGCTCTTGTGCATGTGAGTGAAGGTACATCGTTTATTAGAGCTTCATGGGACACCAATTTCGACTTCTCTAGTTCACTTGATCATGTTCACTCGGTGACCATCAACTGCTTTCCAGTATTTCCAGCTTGAAAGCTACCTATCACCAAACTTTCTTAATAATCGAGTAACCCAGGCCTAATTGTGTTTTCCTTGTCTCCTAAAAGCAGATATTTCGGCAATACTATTTAAAGTTTTCTACATTTCAACATATAAATTGTCATCACTATAATTTAAGGGAGATTTATTTCCACGTATTGCAGATTATCCACAACTAAGCTCCTGTGTGTTGGGAGGCAGATGTATAAGTAAGCTTCGATTCTTCACACATTTATAATGTTCAGAAATTTTGCATTATATGCTGTATTTTGTGTGGCCTACCTCACAAAGCAACAAATGTTTTTCTTCAATACTTGAATGGATATCTTGGGGTAACCTGAAGTGCAATAATTTAGCGGAATATTTGAGCGTTATAAACTACATTCATAACAAAATCATTGCTGGTTTCCTTGTGCCTGATGCTCACCTTATTTCAGTTCTCTGTGATTTCGAAATGCTTCATTTAAGATACACATACAACATCTTGATATAGAACCTCATCGGGATCTTCATTAGTGATGGTAGCTGGTTTCCTATCTAATGACTCGGAGAGGGTGGTAGCGAAAATAAATTCAATTATATTTGTTTGTTTCAAAACGTGTAACCATGTCGTTTTGAAGTCTGAGGTTTCGCTGGTATTGACTCGGCAGAGAGACTGACGGTAGTTTTCATATTTGGCATCCAACCGAACAGTTAGCAGATCTGGGTCGGAATGGCCACCATGTCCGAAAATCTGCAAAGAGAGCTCAGAGTAATTGTAACGACTTTTTGCTCAATTACTTCGACTGCAAATTGTCTCTCAACCGGGTCAAACGATCCTAACTGAGGTAAAATGTGGAATATCAATGATCAGGAAAGTGGGAATCAGCTCGATTGTGATGCTCAAATTATGCGTATGTATTTCTGGAATAAAATCTAAGGAGATATTTTGTACCTGAGCAGGTATCACACACCGGTACGTTATGGCCAACACACTGTTACTGTAGGATGAATTGTCCTGGAAACCTACTATACACTGTATGAGCGTTAGTTAGATATTTATATAAAAGTTCATTATTAAAACACATGAGTGCATACCACCAATTTTATGGACCCTTCTGAATCATCTGGAAATATAAGGATTAGTAACGAATTGCTTTAAAGCGCATATCTGTATTCTGCTAAGAATATTTAGCAAGTTATCATGACCTGAAGAACTTGATTAGACTACAGGACCATATTAACTACATGGCAATCAAGATTATGTTATATGAGCTGGAGGCAGCCGACGACATATTTCTGGTGTTGCTTTTGGCCATGGTTGTTGAATGTGTGCGCCGTTCAATAGATGAGCTTGATTTGCAGAAACCCGTTAGTGTAACTCACAAAGACAAGGCTACCTTGTTTATTATATTTGTACTCTGATATTCTGTACGGTGTCTATTCCCCAAGGTTGCACAACTGTGCGTAATAGATGGACAGGTAAGTCACGGAACCATCGTAATGTACTGACTAGTGATTGCATTTTTGCAACCATCATCGCATTCTGGGTGTTATGATTTACGCTCAACCAGTGGAAAGGTTGACAAGAGCCAATTTTAGACTGTTCGGCAGATTTTAATTGAATTCATATGATTTCGTTATATTGTTCATGTTCACCGCGCTCTCGTTTGACGTAATCATTCTGATGAGTCTACACCGAAGGACTTGAGTTTCTCTCTTATTACAGCTTGTTAGCAGCGCATATCTAATGGCGGTGCCGGGATCTGAACCCCGGAGATTGGCATGCCGAGCGAGCGTGTAACCACTACTCCACCAACGTACGTTGGGCTCATCTGAATTTTCACGTCTGAACAGGCGAACGTGTTCACACTTGAGCGATGTGATTGGTGTGCCCGACTCATTGAACGACGACCTAGTGACTGTTCTGGTTGTGATGATCAATTGATTTGTTCATTTTCTCTTGAATGGTGGCGAACACTCATATAAAGTCTTCTAACGTTCGACTACGGATGTATGTACATCTGAAAATATAGCTTGTCACGGGCCTATTCCCAGGATATGAATTCCGATGATGTCACACGTTTTACGTAAGCTGGGCCTTGGCTAATCATTCGGGTGATGTGACTAAGGATTTTCGGTTGTCTGAGGTGGTCATTTAAAAAAAGCAGAAAGCTGTCCGTAAGCTTCACTCAAGTCGGCGATGGTTGGTGTTTGTCAGTGCCATTTTTTTACGCACTGTACATTTGACGCATCTGTACATCAATTATTCAATGGAATACCGTTGAATTAATCAGGCCACTGAGGTTCATCCAAATCGAAACATCCCATCACACATGAGTTTCGACAGTACTGAGATTCATCAGCGGTTTGCACTCCAAAAAAAACGCCTCAGTGATTTGAACGCCTTGACTTCGTGGCAGTTGACTACCAGTAGGGTGTTGTCCCAGATTAGGAGTTTGGGAATAAGAAAATGTTTCGATATATGTAAACAACGAACTGTTGGCAATTGCATGTAATAATGAAATAGCTCAACAGGGGACCCCTTTACAAACAAAGCAATTTATATCAAAATTTTACCAAATTGCTTCATGCTGTGAACAGTAAACGCTTATGCTGGATCACGAACACCTTCATTTAACAAACTAGACCTAAGTAACAAGGTGGGTTGTTTTGTTCAGTTCATTTCTTTGTTGTGACCTCAAAACATCTACTAATGTTTCATGTTCCGATATTTACGAAAAGAGGAATCACCTTTATACAAACAACCACTGCTTACAGTCAGTTGCTGTGGTCATACTTTACGGGGTGGACGAGGTTTTATGTCTTAACTAACACGGGCATAATCACACGCATTCTGTGCAATACCTTAAGCAAAGTGAATCTTCGAAGAAGGCAATTACGAACACATTAACATCCTCATGGCTATGACCAAGAGACATTGAAATTGACAGGGTAGTAAAGTGAAAAAGGGACCCACACGTAGGCTGTCAAATACATTTCGTTTTTACCATTCCGTTGTTTGGTCATTGAGTTGGACGGCGCTAAGCCTCAGCCTTTTGGAATCAGGTACGCGGGTCCGGGCAACGGGCAAAGAAAACTGTTTGCCTAATTCACCAAATATGCAAAACCACGCAGTGAACAGTTGGTTCTCAGCGTGTTACTTAAGCAGATGTTACCGTATTCTAGTGTGTGGGAACTTTTGTGAGTTGCGTTGGGAATTTCTCTGTCAATACAACTCCTGTATGGAGGTGGAACCATATGAAAATGTAGGTTATTGGTGCGACTGCACGGCCATGAGTAAGAGTTTATTGGAGGTACTACCGAGTTTTTAAAAGAACTAATGACAATGTCTACAGAACGTTTTTTCGAGTTTTCAGACGTTAATCTTAGACAGTTATCCGAATGTGCTGCTACCTGTCCTCTGTTTGTAGTGCAATTGTAATCACCCAGCCAACCTCATACATTCTTATTTGTTTGTATCCAAATTTGTTTGATAAAGCGTGTCGGTCCATCCTTAACTTTTGCCATGAAGGTGTGCTAAGCTAATAGCTCGTTATCAGTAGCTTTCTAGGAGGATTTGGTCATAAATTATTAGCGCCCTCGGGTGATAGATTAATCGACATTAGGCGTCATCAAACGCGGTGTCGGTCCTTCGAATTAAGTTCCTTCGACAGTACACTCTTCAGGTACTATTGTGTGCGTTTAACACCTGAAATATGAAAAATCTGCCATAAACCCTACGTGTAAACAAAGACATCATGCTTACTACGAGTTAATGGTCTGAGCACAAATCACATGAAACTACGAAATCTTGTTGACAATGCCTGATTAGTGTAAAAGCCTCGTATTTTGTTTTGTCCCAGTAGGACACTGAGGGTTTACTTAAGCAGATGTTACCGTATTCTAGTGTGTGGGAACTTTTGTGAGTTGCGTTGGGAATTTCTCTGTCAATACAACTCCTGTATGGAGGTGGAACCATATGAAAATGTAGGTTATTGGTGCGACTGCACGGCCATGAGTAAGAGTTTATTGGAGGTACTACCGAGTTTTTAAAAGAACTAATGACAATGTCTACAGAACGTTTTTTCGAGTTTTCAGACGTTAATCTTAGACAGTTATCCGAATGTGCTGCTACCTGTCCTCTGTTTGTAGTGCAATTGTAATCACCCAGCCAACCTCATACATTCTTATTTGTTTGTATCCAAATTTGTTTGATAAAGCGTGTCGGTCCATCCTTAACTTTTGCCATGAAGGTGTGCTAAGCTAATAGCTCGTTATCAGTAGCTTTCTAGGAGGATTTGGTCATAAATTATTAGCGCCCTCGGGTGATAGATTAATCGACATTAGGCGTCATCAAACGCGGTGTCGGTCCTTCGAATTAAGTTCCTTCGACAGTACACTCTTCAGGTACTATTGTGTGCGTTTAACACCTGAAATATGAAAAATCTGCCATAAACCCTACGTGTAAACAAAGACATCATGCTTACTACGAGTTAATGGTCTGAGCACAAATCACATGAAACTACGAAATCTTGTTGACAATGCCTGATTAGTGTAAAAGCCTCGTATTTTGTTTTGTCCCAGTAGGACATTCCACTGAGGGTAAAACCTTTTCATTATTTCTAACACATCGCTTACTGGTGTTGAATTACACTTGTCTAACAGGCGATCCTCAAATCGAGCGGACAGCAATTTTTCCATGTGCGGTTGCACACCCGTTTGTCACCTGAAAATATTGCTAATGTCGGTTATATTTGAAACCCATTAAATGTGAGGCTGATTCCTGTCTGACACTTGGGCGGTCTTTTACTGCTACCAAATTTATGAGATCGCATTTTATTTTAAGAATGTCAGTTTGAGTTCACGAACTACCGAGATAAGTCAAAGTTTCTCTTTGGGGTAAATCTGTATTCACTGTAGTCAGCATCTCCTAGGACATGTGCGTTTTGGACAAACAATTAACGAGGCACATACAAATGAAGTTTACATATGTTCGAGAAGTGTGCTCCAAACATTTCCACGGCAATATATATTATATCTTTTCGATTTTAATTTCAGTTGGCCAGAGATCGCTTTAAAACCAGGTAAGATTAATAAATGGATGATCTCTCACATTTTTAAACACATATACACACATCGAAAAACTGCATTTATTCAATTTGGTTTCAGAACCGGATGCGGATTAGCCAACAAAAATGTATGTTCGGTTTGATTTAAATTTGTTTGCCTAGAGAATATGTTTGCACTGCGCGTATTTTTAGTGCTTTTGACTTTATCGTAAAACGCATTTTATTGTTTCACCTCTAGCTTACTAGACATGGCCATTGGTGAAAAACCATCAGCGTAAAACCCCACTTTCGGTTCTACACTAAAAAGAACCCACTGGTTCTAATACGTATCCATTTTCTCAAGGTATGCTGTTCATTCTAGACCCTTCATTCAAGTGTAACTCGAAATGAATTAAGTTGCTTATACCCCCTTATTAAATATTCCATCTTCTTTCTTGCAGTGTGTGTAAGAAGGAGCGAAGGATCGGAACTAATTTGGAACCCTCCAACACATCGATTCAAGATTTTGGCACCCACACTAGCCGACAAGAGCCGTTAATTGACACTCAACACTGATTTAGTCTGAAGAGAACTTACTGATTGGTTCCCCGTCTGTCTTATAACCTGGCCAATTTTGTGACCTGTTCACTTGGCCTGATGAAGCTTTTGTGTCAAAAGCGAAACGTTGCCCAAATAAAAACTACCGATTGTTTACCAAGCTCTTCTGAAAAGAGCGAAGTAAACCTTTATTCGTCGTTTAAATATCGGTAGAAGCAGTCGCTCTAATGTTTGTTATGTTAGTTACAAGAATAAACCATACTTATTGCAAGTCTTGTTTTATGTCCTGGAGGTGCCCAGAATATTCGACAGTGCATCCTGGTTGGAGGCAATCAGTTCACCTGAACACGTATGAAAAACTGTCCTGATTTGCAGAGGCTGAGCTTTGTTAATTTGTTAAAGCTGCTCAAGTACACTGAATATGTCACCTTTTCAAACACAGTCACGTTCACAAGTCGCTTGCGTCTTCAAAGCGACAGCAATCACGGAACCCAAACGTTCTCTTGCTTTACCCGAAAGATTTTGAGCGCCCGTAGTGCCGGATGGTTTCAAAGTCCTAGTAAGGAATAATTTAGAGGATTTAGAAGCGTTTCACGTTTGACTGATGACCAGCAACACTCTCCATAAGTCTGCAGCTTTAGTAGCCTGGATTAACTTGAAAAGTGCATTGTGGGGTTTGAATGATATCACAGAGATAAGGGTAACCTCCAGAAATTTCCGGGTTAAATAAATCGGTTGAAAGGCGACTACAATCTGCAGATAGGTGTTTCCGCGTAAACATGATATAGAGCCGAAATGAAAATACGTATCTAGCGCAAACAGGGGTCTAGTTGAACGCCACGTCACCCAAAACAAGCGGCATGCACCGTTTCAATTCTAACAAGGTTTCCCGAAACGACAAACACACAAAGCAGCCGTCGGAAGGGACGTTATTAAAAATACCTGACACGAAGTAGCTCAGTGGTATAATCCAACAGAATACAAAGTGATAATCTGAGTTTTAGACAGTGAATATGAAGGAGAATTGAACATAGTTAGGACGTTCTCAAATGCCCGTTAGTGGTCGTTTAGTGGTCGTGTATATTCCTAGATACACTGAATATCATATTTGTAATTCCAAGCGGCCTACAGAATAAGACAATCAAAAAGTAAAATTAACTGAGAAGTTAAGCAGGCAACAAAATCCCCACTTTTGAGAAGGCTGCTTCAGTAACAAAGAGCAGCTAAGGTGCATGAAGGGTCACCTTCAAAAGCAAGGGAACAGCAAAACACCGGCCAATCAAAACCGACGAGAGAACTTGCCGATAGTGCAAGCGATACTAAGGGAATTAACTCGGAA